AATTTCTGTGGTTTTAAACAATGGAGCAGTCACAGAAACCTAATACAGACTTCAGATGACTGGAGCAGGCAGGTTAGCAAATAATAAAACCGTAATTTTAAAACAGCAGGACATGGAACAGCACTTTTGTAAAAGATATGAGTGCGCATGTTCCCAGACACAGAAAGAAAAATACTGGGCAAATCAAAACCAGACGCGGAATTACCCAGAAAGCCATCCTTCTAGCAGTTTATCCTAAGGAGCACTTAACCCGGGCTGCTGCAAAGGCACAGAGCCGTTCATCAACCAGGACACTTCACAGGACAAACAGGGAGGAAAAAGATTTAACTTTGGAGTTTGGTTCAATAAATCATAATGTAGCCACCGAGCGGAATGCTGTGTGAATTATTAAAGATCTTGTATAATGGCCCTTATTTCTGTAAAGGGATTGTCATGAGATGGTAGGTAAGAAGTCACTATAAAAGAATCTGCGTAGTGTGATCCCATTTAAAAGTAATCACACCCCCCCCCCTCCGTAAGTGCCAGGAAAAGTGTTCAAAGGGCCACACCCAGGAGTAAAGTGGTGTCACCGGGTGGGAGGACAATCACTGGTATTCTGGGGTGTAATTTCCAGCTACCGATGTGGCATTCCTGAACGCAGCACTAGTCGGAGGCCCAGGGTGGCACATCGTCACTCAGTTAACCCCACCATACAGAGAAGACCTCAGGGTAGAATTTGCATGTAAACTGGCCACCTCCTCCCGTCTGCTTTCAGTTACTCGTGATGCATAAGACAATGTGGATACTGTATGGGTAACAGTTCTGCATTGATAGAAGCAACCCGTAATAAAAGCACAAATTAGGAGAGATAAGATTTGAGTACTGGCTTTGATCTATTTATTTATTTATTTTCTGGTACTTGAGGTTGAGCCCAGGGGTGCTCTACCACTGAATAACACTCCAAGCTCTTAAAAAAAAAAAAAAATTTTTTTTTTTTTTTTTTTTTTGGAGACAGGGTCTTGCTAAGTTGCTGAGGTCGGCCTCGAACTTGCAATCCTCCTGCCTCAGCCTCCCAGATGGCTGGAATTACAGACGTGTGCCCCTGCGCTGAGTCTGTATAATCTGATCTTTGATAAGGCTCTGTCTAATAATTGCCCTGCAGAATTCCTGAGAATTTGACAGCTGACTCTCACAGGTAGCCCAGGCCTCCCACCAGAGCTCCTGCAACTGAAGGGGCTGTCCCCTGGTCCCCCAGGAGCTGCAGGCCGGAGACCCTAACTGGGAGGGAGCAGTGACGGTGGCCGGGCTCTGTCCTCAGTCCTGAGTTTCTCCAGGTCAGTGACCTACCCCAGGAATGCCCGGCCCCTCCCGCAGGCCCCGGTTGTAAACAGAAAGATGGCTCCTGGCTCCTCCTGTCCGGGTGGAAGGCCAGGTCTCTCCCTGCAGCCCGGAGGGTGACCTTCCTGCCCCAGTTGGCTGACCCCTGCCTCCCTAGAGGCCTGGTGAGTCCACTTTCTGTCACTAAGAGCACAATGCCCGGCTGGAGAAGGGACACAGAGGATAGGTTCATCTGGGCTCACCTTCTGGACCAAGGACAGAGAGAGGCAGAGAGAGGTCTTGCTTCTTCCTGCACGTCCACCAGCGTTCAGCCACGGGCCTCCTGAGGGTCTAGTTAGTCCTGATCAACTCTCCCGAGCCCCACCCGAAGCCCCATGTCAGGTGACGCCCCTGCCTTCTCCAGACTCCTGAGGGGGGCCGAACTTCAGAGGGACAAACCACTTCACACCACAGGACAGGCCCCCAGGCTAACCCTCAGGGACAGATTCAGCGTTTCTGGGAGGGCCATGGTACCCACCCCTGTCCCCGGGTGGGCCTCTCCCGGGCTRTGGTCCACTTTAGGCCACAGCTGCTTTTAACCCAAGTCCCCCCAGGCCTGGGGGTGTAGGGCCCAGCACCCCAAATCCCTGGACACAGCGTCTCCCTCCAGGGCCAGTGGCCAAGTCAGGCCTTCYCCCCAGCCTCCCCATGTAAGTCCGTTCCCCGTGGTGTCCCCTGCCCCTCTGGCCCGAGGCCACGTGCTTCTCTTCTCCATCACCAACAGCCGCTCCCAGGAGTCCTGCCTGGTCCTTGCGGCTGTGTCCCTTGTTGACACAGGGCCCATTCTTGGACGGAAGGAGGTCCCCCGTGGTGGATGGGAATGTCCCACCTGGGTCCTGGGCCCCGCTCTGCCCCAGATCCTCTGGCTCCGGCCTCCGACGCTGTGGATTTGGCTTCACGGGGCGGGGGAGGAGGACCTGGGGGTCAGTGGGCCGTCACCCTGCTCTGCCACGGGACAAGCGCAGCCATTGAGCTGGGACAGCCTCAGGCCAGAGGAAAACTCAGCAGCGCTGATGTCGAGATTCGGTCTTTACAAACTCGGCTTTGTTCCTTAGGGATGATTCACATTCACTCAGATTTTTCTGGGGTCGGAATATACGTGACAAGACGTACCATCTCAGTCCCTGTTACGGGGGCARTTTTGTGGCATCGATGACATTCCCATCGTGCCTCCCATTTTGTTCATCCTGCAAAACTGAAAGTCTACACCCTTCAACAAGGACTCCCCATCCCCCCCTCCCAGCCCCCAACCTTCTAACCTCAGTTCACCTCTTGACTGTGTGGACCCGAGGTTCCTCTGTAAGGGGACCTGTCTTGCTGGGTCGGGCCTGTTTCGCTTAGTGTAAGTTTTCAAGGTCCATCCAGGTTAGAGTGTGAGTCAGGATTCCCTTCCTTTTCATGTCTGTGTAATATTCCATGGTACATCTACACCACACTTTACCTTCTCCTCCAGAAAGGAGTGGAGGGCTGGGTACATGCCACAGTGTGGGTGCCCTGGGAAAGCCTCTAGTGAAGGAAGCCAGCCACATGTTCCACGACTCCACTTATAGGATGGTCCACAAGAGACAGATCCACAGAGACACGAAGCAGATTGGAGAAGGAGGAAGGATGGGAGTCCCTGCCAACGGAGTGTGAGAATGTTCTGGAATCCGGCCAGCCGCTGCCCCGCATTGTGAAGGTCCTAAATACCTTCTTTAAGAAGTGCCCACTTTAAGATGATCAACGCGGTCATTTTAATTAAATGGTAAATTTAATTTCACCACCATAAAAAACTGACTAAAAAGAATAAAAAGGATTAAAGTAGATTATACCCCAAAATGCCCGGCTGGAAAGAGCTGATACCTTTAGGATCATTGCTGAGTCCGAGGCCCAGGGTCCCGGCTTCTCTGGGCGGGAGGTGGCTCGGACGTTGTTCTTGACCCACTCTCTGTGGGTGACTCCAGCTAGTGCCAGGCCCCTGGCCAGGCTGTGCGAGAGGGTGGGGCCTCCTCCTCGCCTCCTCGCCTCCCCGCTGACCACCAGTGGCTGACCACCAGTACTGGCCAGGGTACTCCCGGTCATCGCCCTTCCCTGCCACGGGAGTGGAACAGCAGCGGGACAATAGCTCCTGGGAGGTCCCGCCAGGCCTGCGGATGGGGTGTGGCTACATGGCTGCCCTCCAGCCCTTACCCCGGAGACCCGTGGACACCTGACCTCAGCTGAGGGGAAAGCTCGTCGTTTTTCTGGGTACAAACCTCCAAGGCTGGGTGTCCCGGTGAAGTAGATTAACCTCTCTGAGCTGTGGGACATGTGGGGCGCAGCCTGCTCCGTACATCCTCCTGACTGGGAGCAGACACGGGCTGGGGGACCCTCTGAGAAGGAGCTGGTGAGTCCACTCCGTCCACCCTGCCCGGCCCTCCCTTGGGGTGTGAGGCCAGGCCCATTCTGACCGCCCTGGCTCCTTTCCCTGGGCTTCAAGGAGGAGCTGCCAGTCATTTGATCCCAGTTGTCACAGGGGACTCGTTGGCCCCGGATGTGGGTGAAATACTGTATGGTGCAACTTTTGAAAGATAACACGCCCGCGTGACAAAACTCAGAAACCAGAGAGCCAGCCCTTTCTTCTAAGACCCAGGTCTTCCCAGACACCAGTGCCTCTGGGTGGGCGTGCCCAGGCTCAGTACCAGGAGCCCGGGGCTCTCCCAGTGCGCRTGCACCCACCCTGCCCCAGACAGGCTCCCTGTGCCCCGGAGGCAGGCACCCCAGACCCTGCCACTGTGCTGTGTGTCACCTGTGTGTCACCTGCCACTGGGCCTCCTGGGCCTTCCTCGCAGGGGTCTGTCCAGCTGCAGCATGAGTGCGTGTGGCCACTCCCACTCTCCTTCCCCTGAAGCCCAGGACAGGGGACCCTGGGAACCCAGGTGGTCCACACCCAGGAGAATCCGATTCCAGGCAACTGTCATTGCTCACACAAAAACCGAGGCCGGGAGGCAGCCTGGGGACCCAGGGGTGCCCTCTAGGGGAGCCCCTCAGCAATCCCACCCTAAAGACAGGAGATGKGGGGAAGCTGAGAACCCCCAAGGAGGGGCAGAGCCCTGGAAGCCCAAGTTGGGGTTCAAGAGAGAGCCCAGGCTGGAGACGCCCTCTCACCCACTGCTGTGTGACCSTGGCCAGTTCTCCTGGCCTCCCTGTGTCTTAGACTCTTGCTTAAGACAAAAGGGAGGCTAAATGCAAAGATTTCTAAACCAGAATATCCCCCAAAATGAGGCACAGGCCACTGGGCCGGGGGCTGCAGATGGAGGATGGGGTTGTATTTCAATCTTTCAAGTCACATCAAGAGGAAGGTCAATGCCAAGTTCTTGGCCTTCCCCCACATGCTCTCCCTGGTGGGCAGGAACGGCAGGCCTCTGGCTTGGGTCACTGTAGGGCAAAGGTATCTAGCRAGAACTGGATGTCTCGTTTACGGCCATTGTATTTTGGTTTCTGTTTGTGGCCATTGAGAGATGACATTTGTTCTTGGATTCATTTACTTAAGTCAAAAGAATGAATTCCAGGAAGGATATTARCAATAATCCAGATAATATAATATTATCCAGATAATAGGAGGGTCACAGACATGGGGCCGGTGGGGGGACGGGCAGAGGAGGGCTGTGCTGGCCCCAGGTCCATCGAGGAGGCCCGAGGGGCTGGACAGGAAGGAGGCCAGAAAGACCCTGCTGCCCGGAAGCGCCTCACGTCCCGTGGAGGCTGGGCAGACCCGCAGCTAGGAGCTGTGCCGGGCGTGCACAGGGCCACTCGCCGCAGCCACCGGGAGCCATGCTCGCCGCCGCCCTCCTGACCCTGGCCCTGCTGGGCAGTGCCCATGCCTGCTCCGGAGGGACCCCGTRCCAGGCGGGCATTGTGTGCCGCATCACCAAGCCCGCCCTCCTGGTGTGTAAGTAGCACCCCTCCCCCAGGCCTCTGGGTGCCCAGCAGGGGGCTTTTCAAGGACACCCCCATGGTCAGGGGCCAGCCCTGGGCAGAGCTGCTGCACCGTAGCCCAGAGAGAGCGGAGCCCTGTGCGAGGGGCTGGGCGGGCTCTCCCCTCCCTGCTACCTCACCTTCACGCTCCTTGGTGGGAAGGTAGGTTCCCCTTCTGCAAAAGGAGGGGGATGCCATCCCGGACCTTGGCCACAGAGATCGTGGAGCTGGGAAAAGACACTATCCTAATAAACCAGTGAGATCTCAGAGGAGCAGACTGCCCKGGTAGATCCACAGGTGACCACGGACCAACACGGACACCGCCGGGGGYTAGCAGCCAGGCATGGGATTCGTGTTTGGGACTGGGACCCCAGTCATTCTGGGGTTCAGAGGAAGGCCTTCTTGGGAGGTCAYACTTGGGGACAAAGTTTGGGTTCGTGTGTAGCTGGTGTTGAAGGTCATTCTATGGCCAGAGTTAGGCATCARCAGAAGCCCAGGCAAGCGAGACTCTGTCACCTGCTGCTGTGTCACCTTGGTTGACTTCATTGCCTTCTCTGGACCTCAGCCTCTTGCTCACTACAAAAAGGGCACAGAGAGGCTCAATGATATGACCTCTGACACAGAATTTCTCCAGTGTAAGACCCAGGATTATAGACTCAGTTGTTTTGGGAAGGGGGTTCCCAGCAGGTCAGGGTACAGCTGGGGTCAGTGTGTAGCTGGGGCTGGGGCTGTCACTTTGACTAGGATCATGGGTGCCTGTGTGTTAGGATCCAGAGGCGAGGGTGTGAGCAAGATCTCTGGCTGGGCTCAGGGTCAGGGCTCTCTGTGTCCCCTGCGAATTGCCACCTGACATGCCCCTCAGCTTGGAGTCCTGTTGTGGGGAGGGGGCTCATCCCAGAGAGGCTGAGCCRTGGCTGGGGCTGAGCTGGGCGGCCGACCTGGGTCTGCAGCCCCTTAACCTGCATGGTCCCCTCTAGTGAACCAGGAGACGGCCAGGGTCATCCAGACAGCCTTCCAGCGAGCCAGCTACCCGGACATCACGGGCGAGAAGGCCATGATGCTCCTCGGTCGAGTCCACTATGGTCTGCACAAGTGAGTGGCCGGGAGGGGAGGGACAGTGGGACTGGCTCCAACCCCAGGCAGGACGGGTGGGGAGCTGGACGGTCTACCTTGGGCCTGGAGGTGCGCGCCTAGCACCGCCAGGGGGCGCTGGCGGCGCTGCTCGGTTCAGGGCGGGGCGGGGCCGGGCGGGGCGGGGCGGGGCCGGGCGGGGCGGGGCGGGGCCGGGCGGGGCGGGGCCGGGCGGGGCGGGGCGGAGCCCGGTGTCACCCCTGAGCTCCCTCCGCCCAGTGGTTGGAGAGGCTCCTGCAGCTGGGCAAGGGCGGGAGGGGCGTGAAGGTGCCCACGGGGCTCTCGGTGAGGCCTTGGGGGTCAGTTTCCCCTTCTGTAAACCGAGGATAATACCATCCTGGATCCTTGTCTCTCCCTCGGGGCGCTCCCGAGCCCCACTCTGACCATGTCCTCCTACCCCAGCTCAAGGCCTGGCTCCCCTCTCCSGGCCTGCTGAGGCCCACTCTGCTCATTTCCTCTTGGCTGCCATAACAAATCCCCAGAGTTTGGTGGCTTCAGACATCACTGTTTATTATGTTAAAATCCGACACAGGTCGCACTGGGCCAAAAATCCGGGTGTCAGCAGGGCCGGGCTCCCKCTGGCCGTGCTGGGGAGACTCTTTCCTTGTCTTTGTGAGGCCACCCCAGGCCTGAGCCCTGGGCCCCCCATCTCCAGCTCTGCCCAGGTGCATCTCCGGCCGTCCTCCCTGGTGGCGTGTCGCATCTCTCCTCCCGACTCTTGATTCCCAGCACCCTGTGGACACTGCAGCCACCCAGGTGGCCTAGGGGCACCCCCCACCTGCCTCAAGGTCTTTGGCTTTGTCATAACCACAGCGTCCCCTTTGGCCCCTCCCTGACCCTGCCACGGCCTTCCTCCCTCCCTCCCTCCTGTGGCTCTCGCAGCATCCAGATCGGCCACCTGTCCATGGCCAGCAGCCAGGTGGAGTTGGTGGAGGCCAGGTCCATCGACATCTCCATCCAGAACGCATCAGTGACCGTCCGGGGGACCCTGAGCTACGGTTACACAAGCGCCTGGGGGTAAGCACGCCCCTCAGCTGACGTGCCCCCTCCCGGGCCCTGTCAGTGTCACAGGGCAGGACGAGGGTCCTGGGTCCTTGGCTCTTTGCAGGCTGAGCGTCAATCGACTCCTCCACGGACCTCCAGATCAGCACCCAGCTGAGTAGGCGTCGGACTCCCTCTGGGGAGGCAGGGAGGCCGGGCTCTAGGGGTGGGTCTCAGCAGAAAGGGAAGGTGGGGCCGGYGGAGGTTCTGAGGCCGGAAGGAGGCCCAACCCGCGAAGCTTGCAGGGTCGGGGCGCCTGGAGCTGAAGGGGCTCCTAGCTGGGCTGGGYACCCCGTGGGCACTGCCCAGGAGCCCAGGCTGCCCTGATGTGACACTGGGGCCTCTCTGCAGCCTCTGACTCTGGCCGAGTGCGCACCAGTGCCCCCGACTGCCACCTGTCTTTCCATAAGCTGCTCCTGCACCTCCAAGGGGAACATAAGTAAGTCCGCGGCCCCGGCACCCACATCCCCACCTTGCACCCCATTCCCACCTGCACTCCATCCTGTTGGTGTGCCCGTGCCCCGTCCAGGGTCCCCCATAGGGCATGCCTGTGGACTACCCAACCTGGGGCCATCGGTACCTTGGGTGGTGCCATTTCCAGTCCCTCCCCATCCATGTAACCTCCAAGAATGGGAACCAGCAGTTACTGAGAACATTAAGGGCCGAGAGTGATCGTGACCGCTTCGCTGAGTTGATSTGATGCTCACCCAATCCAGTGCTAGGAGGCAGACTCTGTTATTACCCCCATTTTCACATGTGGGTAAACTGAGGCCTGGGGTTAGGAAGGCAGGATCRTTCTGTGTCCACCCCTGTGTCCTACACCCCAGTCACCCCCATCAAACCTCAGACTAACCTGCAGCCAAGCTCAGTAACTGCTGCAGACACACAGCTCGCTGCTGAGGGGTGGGAGCAGCGTCCTCTGATCCAGGACCTGAGCTCCTCCTTCCTCACCTGAGAGGTTCTTGGTCTTGGCCAGTCTCCTCTGTCAGGGAGCTGGGAATAGTCTCATTGCACAGAGGAGGATACTGAGGCTCAGGGAGGCCCCAGTCTCAAACCTGGAATGCAGGAGAGACCTGGAGGCTGGGGTCTGGGGAGCAGACACATGCATGGATCTGGACCCTGTACATGACGTGGGCCCTCCTGAGGAATTCTGAGGTGATGATGTGGTTCATGCTCATGTCTGAGCTCATGTCTGGGGTTCAGTGATCTCAGTGTGAATTGGGGACAATAATTGCCACCTCCTGAGCTCTCTGAGGATTCTGAGGCCAGCAGAGACCCAAAGGTACGCACACAGGAGGTGCTCGGCAGACGCTCAGGACCGGCTGGAGGCTCACTAGCTCTTGCTACTACCTCAGGCCCAGCTGGATCCAGCAGCTGTTCACAAACGTCATCTCCTTTACCCTGAGGCTGGTCCTGAAGGGGCAGGTGAGTGAGCAGCTGTGGCACCTGCGTCTGGAGTCGGGGCTGGGAGCCAGACCCACCTCCTCTCCTGCCCTTCCCTGAGAAGGTGCCCCTCCTACCTTCCCAAGGTAGCCAGTCCCCTGTGCCCGTTCCCAGCATGGCCACCCACACACAGCTTGAGGGAGGCACACCCTGCTTCCTCTCTGGCCTTGTTTCCTGCCTGATAAGCTGCCTGCCCTGTCCACCCCAGATCTGCAAAGAGATCAACTCCATCTCCAACATCATGGCCGACTTTGTCCAGACAAGGGCCGGTGAGTTCTGTCTGTGTGCCTCAGAAGGCAGTGGTGGGAGCAGAAAATGACCACAGTCGCTGTGTGATCCTGGACAGTCACTCCCCCCTCTGGTTCTCTTGGTCCCTGTCTAGCTCTGGCACTGGTGATTAGTGTGGCTACGGCAAGTTGCTTCCCTTGAAGCTGCAATCTCATAAGCTGTGTGACCTTGAGCCAGGGACTTACCCTCTCTGAACCTCATTTTCCTCATTAGTAAAAAGGGGATCATAGCACTTACCTCACAGAGTGACTGTGAGAATCAGGTGGAAAAAGAAAAAAAGTATGGAGGAAGCATAAGACAGAACCCGGTCCATCACCAGCCCTAATCAGCACCCCGTACCCCAAGCACCAAGCTCAGTGTCAAACACATTTCAAGAACATGGATAGACRATAAGGAGGAGGAGGGCAGGATGGAGATGGAGCACTCTCCCACTCTTCCCGGGCCTCTTCCCTCCAATCTCAGGGGGACTCTGGTCAAGGGGCAGCTCCCACGGCTTTGCAGTGGAGAAGAGAGGACTGCCTGGGCCCGGTGGTGCACCCCTGTAATCCCAGCCATGGGGGAGGCTGAGGCAGGAGGATCTCGAGTTTAAGGCCAGTCTCCACAACTTAGTGAGACCCTGTCTCAAAACAAAAAGATAAATTTAAAATGGCCAGGAATGTAGCTCAGTGGTAGAGTGCCCCTGGGCTCAATCCCCAGTTCCAAAACAGGAAAGGGAGGAAGGACAGACTCAGGCCTCAGTTTTGTCATCTGTCCAGTGGGAACATCCCTGGGCCCCTGGAAGGCACCCAAGACAAGAGGAGGAGTGTCCTGAGAGTGGGAAGCTCTGTGCCCCCACCCCCAACGCAGAGAGCACGGCTGTTTGTTGAACTTGCTCTTCCTGACGCAATCTCCCCAGTGACCCGGGGAGGAGGGAACCATAACCCCCATCCTACTGATTTATGGGCCCACGAGGCCCCCAATCCAGAAGCAGAGGAGAGGCACCTGAGCGTGGGCAGTGGTTTCCCAAGCCGCTGCTGCAGCCGCTGCGCCAGGCCAGCTGATGAGTCCCGGGCACCGAGTAGGTGCTCAGTGAACAGGGAAGCTGCCGTCACAAAGAAACCCCAGATCAGGGGACCCTCCAGGTGGCTGCGGGGTGGTGAGAGGGGAGCCTTCAGGCAGTGCCAGGGGTGTAGTGGGCATCCCGGCTCCCGGCCTGCCGTGAGTGGCCAGCCCCGGCCCTGCGCCTGGTCGGGAACGGGGTGCGGGCGGAGCTGGGCCGTGGACCACGCTGGCCTCCCACCAGGCGCCTCGGCCTAGGGTCTCCCCAGCAAGGCGCTGAATGCAGGCCCAGGGAGGCGCGGGGGCGGGCCCTGCRCTCCAGGCCCAGCCGCTCCAGGCTGGGAACCACAGCAGGGGACCGTGGCCATGTCGCTGTCCTCCGCTTTTGTAAAGTTTTGATTGTCACGTGGCCACTTCCACTCACCTGCGGGGTGGCCCCTTTTGGGCACAGTTGGGATCTTAGTGGCCGAAGAGCCTCGGGCACTTACCCTCTGGTGGCTTATAGAGAATGTCTGCTGACCCCTGTCCCCACAAAGACACAGCCCYGGGGTGGATGGTGCCATTGGAGGCGAGGACATGACAGAGAGGTTGGCTCCCTGCTCCTGCCGTCCAGCCCCCGAGGGCAGTTTGGGGCTCCAGCGTCCAGCACTCCTGCCAGTGGAGCCACCAGAGGGACAGGCTCTGGGAAAAGACAATGAAAAGTGCCCCCAGAGCCCCCAGGACCCACTCTACCCAGGAGCACGGGGGGAGGGGGGCTCCTGTGGGGGGCTGGGGGACCCCTGCCCCAGGCAGCTCCCGTCCCGGGCTCCAGCCTGCCCTTCTCTCCCCGCAGCCAGCATCCTGTCCTCTGGAGACATCCGGGTGGACATCTCCCTGACGGGACCCCCTGACATCACWGCAGCCCACCTGGAGTCACACCACAAGGTGGGGGTGGGGGTGGCAGGGCTCCCCTCCTGGGCGCTCCTCAGTCCTAGTCCTTACCTGTGTCCTGGTCACACTGCCCCCAGCCTGGGGAAGCCACACTGCACCTTCTGCTGCACCTCTTCAGGTGTCCCCTGGTGTGGCAAGGCGGGGGTGGGGTTCTGCTTCTGTGTCTGACCCTCTGTGCTCACCCTCCCCTCCCAGGGACCTCACAAAGCACCAGCTCCTTCTAGAAGGCTTATTTGGCTCCCAGCATCCTCCATTGGGTGTGGAGAAGCCAAGKCCTCTTGGGGCGTCTGGGGAAGCTCTACCCCTGCTACTTAGGACTAGGTTCTGCTGCTGTAACGAAGATGCCCAGCGTAACAGCAGCTTGAACCCTCAGACATTCACTTCCTGCTCAGAGTGGCTACCGCGAGCAGCGCAGGGGGTGGCAGTGCCATGCTGTTGGGCATGCAGGCCCCGTTGTGTTGCTGGCTGGTCACCCCACACTCTGCTCACATCCAGTGGCCTGACCTCGGTCACATGGTCACACCTAGCTGCAAGGAAAGCAGAGAAGTGTACCCCAGGCCGCTGTGACCTGGTCAAAGACGGGGTGTCACAGAACTCTGCAGTGGTGCGTTTAGAGAACCAGCAGCCTGTCTGGGATGGAGCCTGTCCCCAGAAAAGTGAGCGAAGGAGCATTTCAGGGAGCTCGTGGCCGCCCGCGAAGCCCCTTCACCCCTCGCGGGCTAGAGGAGCAGGCGCCGGGCACGGGCCTGACTTCCGATTGCCACTTGGGGGCTCCCTGCCATCCCCTGGTCCCAGAAGGTGCAGGACTGCGCTCAGGCTGGCCAGCTGTCCTGGTCACAGAGCACAGAGGCCCAGGGCCACCACGGCTCTGCCTGCGGTCCTTCCTGGAATGTCAGGCTTTGAGGGTGGTGACACGTCTGCTGGGTCACCTCGCCCGGGGCTGGGAACAGAGCAGGGCCTCGGGATGAACCCTGAGSGAGGAAGGCTGGGCTGGGAGCCGGCCGGGGGCAGCTCTTTCTGGGCTCCCCACGCTCCTCTGGGCTGGGTTCCCCAGGCTCCTCTCAGTGTCCCTGGAGCCGCTCCAGCAGGGACACAGGGGAGGGGCAGCCAGCGTCCCCYGCTTCCTCCAGGGTCATTTCATCTACAAGAACGTCTCCGAGGACCTCCCGCTGCCCACCTTCTCGCCCAGCCTCCTGGGGGACGCCCGCATGCTCTACTTCTGGTTCTCGGAGCAAGTCCTCGACTCCCTGGCCAGGGCCGCCTTCCAGGATGGCCGCCTCAGGCTCAGCCTGACCGGGGAGGAGTTCAAGGTGAGGGGCAGGTGGCTGCCGGGACGTCCCTGGGTGGGTGGGTGGCATGCGTGACCACAGCGGAGGAGCACGGAGGAGATTCTGGGGGCACCAGAGCTGCCAGGATCCATCCCAGCTGCAGCCATGACCCTGAAGTTCAGCATCGATTGGGACCTACTGTGTGTTGGGTGGATCGACCCATCAATTGAGGAATCAGTACATAAGTAGGCAGATGCTTGCCACACGGGAACTGAGCCATGAACGTGAGCTGCCATTACTATCTGTGTTGAAAGTATTTTGGCTGCACTCAGTCTGTGGGGTAAGTACTGTCACTACCTCCATTTTCCAACAACAAAAGCACAACGAAGCTCAGAGAGGGTAGRTAACTTGTCCAAGAACACACAGCTTGGTCGTGATGGCTCCAAGTCTGCACTCTTCCATACCAGACGTGCTCACCTGGTTCCCAGTCCATGCCGGTCATTGAATTCATGGGGGAACTGAAGCCTTGAGGGAAGAGACTTCCCCAAGGTCATGTAGATGGTGTGGCCTCCAGTCAGGTCAGGGGTCCTCTGCACCCCACCTGCCCAGAGCATGTCAGATCATGTGGTGGGGGGGATTGGGAGTTGGTTTGTGAGGACTGACCCCCTGGCCATCTCTGGCCCCTCTCTTTCAGGCAGTGCTGGAGACCCACGGCTTCAACACCAACCAGGACATGTTTCTGGAGGTAACTGCCCTGCTGCTGGGGCTCGTCTCTGCACCCTGATTCTACTTTTGCATCAGAAGTCCCTATTCAGCCAGCCACAGCAGCAGTGGTGACCAGGACAGCTCGGCCTGAGCTCCATCCAGGGCCCCGAGCTGGACCCTTTCTGCATGTGACTTCCTGCCATGCTCATGACAACCCTGGGGTGAGGCACGGCCATGGTCCCCGTCTGCACACAGAGGAACGCAGCGAATGGCAGGGCTGGCTCAGAGCCAGCTGTCACGGCCCCGAGGACCATGCCCTGTTACCCAGGCCGCAGGGCCTTGCGGGAGGCTGGACGCCCAGGATCACCCCAGGCTCGGAGGGCCCTGGCGAGAGGATGAGGCCACTGGTCATCCCTGATCCCAAAGCCAACCTTGGGCAGACTCCTTGGAGGTCACAGCCTCTGCCTGCTCTGCCGAGTGGCAATGATGCCCTAATCCCTCTCTCCGTGGGAGGTTCCACTGTGAATCCCCGGTCCCKGGCCTGAGCAGACCCTGGCCGTCTCTGGGCAATCTGCCCCCAGCCTCTGGTCTCGCCCGCCCCGCCCACGGCAGTGGCTTCATCCTTGAGCCTCCAGCTGCCCCTCGCCCAGCCTTCCGCCACCCGCTCCCTGTCCTCACCAACTCAGTGTCTGCCTGGTGACCACTGCTGTGCTACTTCCCCAGAGCTGGGCAGTGGCCCCAGTGAAACTCGTCCCTCAGCTTCCTGCTTCCAGCCCCTCCCCCACCTGCTCCTTCCTGTGTCCTCCTGCTGTCCTCGTGGACATGGCCTCTCTTCCCTCTGAGCTTTAGCGTGTTCCCAGCCCTGCAGACGCCTCGCTTCCTTCCAAGTGTGCAGCTCGGAGCCTCTGGGGTGCCCCTGCCCTCCCTCCTCCCCCTTCCCGAGTCCTGTCCATCAGATGTCCTCACTGTTGGTAGGGTCTGTCCACCTCTCTGTCTCCACCTTCCCCCTGGAGGCCCCCTCTGCAGGGAGTCCTCCTGCATCCTGATACCCCTGACCATCTGTTCTCTAAGGAGGTCAATAGAACAAGCTATTGGAGAAGTAAAACTGATCACTTTCCTGCCAGGTCACAACTCATCAAAGATAAAGGACCAGGGTCGCGGGATATGGCAAGGTTCTCTGTGCTGGCCTCGAGGATCCCGTATTGCCTGGCCCCTGTCTACTCTCAACCTAGTTGTTTTAGACACACCGTCATGGTTCACCTCTGGAAACAGCTCGGTCTCCATCTCTTCAATTATTTCCTCTACTCTGTTTTCTCGCCTCCTTGAATTAGACGCAGGTTGGACCTTCTCTCCATCTTCTATATCTGTTAGTTATTCTGACGAATTTTTTTCATCTTTTGATTTCTGTGCAAAATTCCTAAATTCCGGATAGTTTTTCCAGACATTTCTTCCAATTCATTAATTTTCTTTACAGCTAGGTCATATCCATTTATCCACCCACTGAGTTTTCCATCTTAACCTCAATAACTTTTATTTATAATAACTTTTTGAGTTTGTTTTTTAAAATCTTCCTTCTCTCCCACCCCAGAGTGCCATCTTTTCATGGGGGCTCTTTCCTCTAATCATTTTTTTTTAAGTTTCTTGGAACTTTCCGCCAGGTTGTTCTACTATGTCCGGTTCTTGGGGTCCTCACCCTGCTGCCTGTTGGGTTTGCTGGCGGCCCCTCATAGTGGGTGGTTTCCTTGTGTGGATTGCCATTCCTGTCTGTCCACGAGCTCGTCTTTGGCGGAATGTGATTTTCCCATGGATAGACTGTGCCCTGGATGAACCTAAATTCCCTAAGAAGACGGTTTGGTATTTATTTCTGCCAGGAACCCCAGGACTACGTCACGTGTTAGTCTTGGATGTGACATAATCACGCAGCTCAGGACGCCCTGCTGTATAAATCATCCTTCAGTCCTGCTGAGCCTGGCTCAGCCTTTTGATTGACATCTCTCGCCTCCCTCCGACACTACCTGGGACATTGTTGAACAAGGGAAAATTTTTAGTCTCCTTGTCACTGAGTGGAAATGACTTGGTTCCTCTTCGGCCTCTCACGGCTCTCTCTCTCTCTCTGAGGACATAAAACCCAGACAGTGTGGTCTGGAGCCACATCCTAACTCTCTGGGCCACACTGCTTAGAGCTTTGCCTTACAGTGTTCCTCCCTCTCTGAGACCTGGGGTTGGCCCTGTCTTTCTTTTGAGCTTGGCCATGCATTACATAAAACCTTTTGTTGTAAAGCATCCGCTGGGTCCGTGGGTTCCAGGGTGGAGGTCTCCTGGAGCCCAGTCCCACGGGCTCTCCTTCTGCAGACAGGTGCAGCCGACCTCAGGCTACTCGCCACTCCCAGCCTCACTCTCCACCTGTCCAGTCCTTGTTTGGCCAGCCCCCTTCCACAGGGCCTTTGCATGTGCTGTCCTCCCTGTCTAGAAGGGCTTTCCCTCCCCCTGTCCTATCTGATTCCTCCTCATCCTCAGGGAAGGCCTCTCCCACCTTCCTGGATACAGATCAGATCTCCTCTTGAGGGCTTTGGGGCCACAACCTGGTCCATCTCTCCTTTAAACTGCTTCTCAGGTGAAATCTTGCATTTAGCTTTGGAATCATCTGATAAATTTGAGCTTTGCTGGTCTGTTTGGTTCTCCGCTGTGACTATACTTCTGGCCCAGGGATGAAGCCTAGTGGGGAGTTCTTGGATATTTTTAGAAGTGGGGGTCACCGTGTGGCAGGGCCTAGTCTCAGCTCCTTCTTGAATGATCTCATTTAATCCTCATAACGGTCCTCTGAGGCAGGAACCGTTATCCCCTAGAGCCGGGAGCACAAAGGCTAAGCCAAGGCGTCCTTCCCACCCTTGAGAGGGGACAGGGCAAGGAACAGCTTCACTAGCCCACGGGGGACAAAAAAACCCAACGGTCAGAAGAGACAAGTCTTACTTTTTCAGTTAACTGGCAGATTTGTGAAGTGGTGCAGCTGAGGTTTCCAGAGTTGGAACCCAGCCTGGGGCCGGAGCCTCTGCCCCAGCAGTTTCCTCTCCTCCCAGCCCTGGGACACCCGAGTCAGCTCCATCCCTCACTAAGGGCATCAGTGACAGCTCTTCTAATGGCCTCCGTCCCCCACCCCTGTCTCCCACAGCTATTCGGCAATATCCCCACCCACCAGACCCAAGTGATCGTCTACTGCCCCAAGAGGCCCAAGATCGCTTGTCAGAACAAGGGCGTCGTGGTCACCTCCTCCGTGGTGGTGAAATTCCTCTTCCCCCACCCGGATGGCCAAAGTGCTGTGGCTCACACGTTTGAAGAGGTGAGGTGGGTGCGAGGGGAGGGGCGGGGACCTGGCCATCCAGGGCAGGGGACAGCGTCTCCAAATCCTTCTCCCCACCTCTGTGGGTGGCTCCGTGGCACGCCAGGCCCGGGGGTTCCTCCTCCCAAATCCATTAGGTCACGTGGATTTCCAGATTCAAAACTTTGTGTGTTTTAGAAAAGCAGCGCAGTGCGTGAGAGGAACACTCTAGAGGGGCCGGGGCGGGGGAACCCCACAATCCACACGCACGGACAGACGCTCAAAAGAAGCAAGAGAAATACACTATCCAAGGCCTCCCATTGGGACAGCCAGGCTTTGGCCACACACTTAAAAAACAAACAAACAAAAACAGCTTTCAGTTTGCAGAGCTTATTTGATTTTGTGATTGTAGATAAGGAATCAAAGCTCCATGTGATCCCTGATGTTCTTCTCTGTGTCCTTAATACTTCTTTTTTGTTTTCTTTGTTTCTTCATCCCCAGCCCTTTTTATTTTAAGACAAGTTCACACTAAGTTGCTGAGGCTGGCCTTGAACTTGCCATCCTCCTGCCTCGGCCTCCCGAGTTGCTGGGGTTCCAGGCATGCGTGCGCCCCCACACCCAGCTTCTCAAAGTTTCTTAGTACATTGGAAACTAAAGATAAAGATAAGACAGGTACAACCTGGAAAATAGAGAAATCTAAAGAAGAGAACCACACTCCCTGACAATACTTTGCCCTCAGCCACCCACAAGGGACAAATGGAGCAGAGTTCCCTTTGGTATTTTATTTTTTATCAACCTCTTATTTTGGAAGAACTTCAGATTTGAATGAAAGTTGTAAAGACACGCAGAGGGGTCACTTGCTGTCCACCTGGCTTCCCTGTGGCTGATGTCTCTCAGAACCCACCCCATGGGCTGTGTCTCAGCCCTGAGTGTGGAACACTGTCAGGACCAGACTCCAGACGGGCTCCCACCAGTTTTTCCACTGATGTCCCTTTTCTGTACCAAGAGCCACTCCAGGAGAGCATGTGATATTTACCTTTTTGAAAATCTCTTAAAATTTTCTTTACTTATTGTTTGTTATTGAAGAATCTGAAAATTTCAGAGTATTCGAGAAAAAAGCATTCAATACTTTTTAAAAACTTGTGAAAGCGAAGGCTTTGTTCAGCCTGTAGGGATGATAAGGACAAGGACCACCGCAGGGGGTCTTAGGGTGCCCTGAGAGGGCACCTCTGGGCTAAGGAGCTGGGACCGGAAAGAGATCTGACAGGATTCTTGCTGAAGCTGGTCCAGGGTGATCAGATTTCCCACACCACGCGGAGGATCAGAAACCAGATCAAAGATGAGGCTGATCAGACACTGAAGGTGGGGATTCTTGCTAGACTGGTTTAGCAGTGTTCTTGCAAAAACTCATTTATAGGCAACACATCGTGGTCCTAGGAGAAGGTTCTGGAGCCTCCCTGAATTTTGGTCAAGCAGAGAATCTTTGCAAACACAACAAACACCTCCTCCCCGGGTATCCTGTTTCACCCCCCCCAACTTTTCCAGTAATCCTCTCCTGTCTCTGCCCCCACCCCCAAACCTCTCTTCTTACTTGTGAATCTGGTGGTGAACATCAGCTGTCAGCCAGAGTGGGATCAGGTGGAGCTGAAGGGGGCTTTTCCAGAAGGGAGTGTCGGCCAGCTCTCCAGGGGCCAGGAGAGAGCCAGGGCAGGTGACCCATGGGGGGCCCTGGTGGGAGCTGCCCCCAAGGATCCACCAGGCCACCCCTTTACCAGACAGAGGCCTCTTCAAAGGGAGAACCAGCAGGTCATTTGTTCAAGGTCACACATCACATTTTTACTGAGTCAGTAGCTTTTGCAGCCCCAGAACATTCATCCATTCATGGGTTTTTAACTACGTCTCTTGAGTTCTTCCTCTGGGCCAGGCCCTGTGGTCCGCACGAAGCTCACAGCGTAATGGGCAGAGGCAGAGAAAAACTAGCTCGACAAACAAAAGACCGCATAACCTCTACTTTGTTTTTATTGTTCTTTTTATGATACACAGGACAGCAGGGTGTATTTTGACATATTATACATATGTGAAGTATGACTTATTCTTATTTAGGGTCCCTTTCTTGTGGTTGTACGTGATGGGGAGTTTCACTGGTCGTGAATTCATACATGAGCATAGGAAATTTATGTCTGATTCATTCCACTGTCTTTCTTATTCCCATCCCCACTCCCTTCCCTTCCTTCCCTTTGTGTCTAATCCAGTGAACTTCCATCCCGGTCCCCATATTGTGTGTTAGTATCCACCTATCAGAGACAACATTTGGCATTTGGTTTTGGGGGATTGGCTTACTTCACATAGCATGAGAGTCTCCAGTTCCATCCATTTACCTGCAAATACCATGATTTCATTCTTCTTTATGGTTGAGTAATATTCCATTGTGTTTATATTCCACAGTTTCTTTACCATTCATCCTTGAAGGGCACCTGGGTTGGTTCCATAGCTTAGCTATTTTGATTTGGGCTGCTATAAACGTTGATGTGGCTGCCTCACGGTGGTAGGATGATATTAAGTCCTACGTATGTGCCGAGGGGTGGGATAACTGCGTCAAATGGTGACAACCTCTACTTTTGGCCAGCACCGTAAAATAAAAATGTGTGCTTCAGGAAGTGCTAGAGCAACTTCAACTCCACATCAGTTTGCTTGAGAGTCGCCTGGTGCCACAGGTCTCCTGCTTTGGCGTGGGCATCCCCTGGGGAGGCTGTGAAAGCAGATTCCTGGGTCCATCTGCAGGGTCTCCGCTGGTAGGTCTAGGGCAGGGCCTGAGAGTCTGCATCTCCAGCACGATCCTCCTCCTGGTGCTGACGCTGCTGGTCAGGGGACCACAGGGGAGCATCGGCACTCTGGTGTGTCTGACGCCCAAAGTGTGAAAATGCAGGTCAATCCCACCCCAGGCAGAGGAATCCTCAGGCGGCCGGATGCGGCTTCACTCTGGAGGTGGAAGAAGCGAGCCGCATGGGGAAGTCCTGCTCCTCTGTGGTCTCTGACTAACCAGCCCGAGGAGACTGGGGATGGGTAAATCAGAAACCAGGACAGGAAGTGCCCTGGGGGTCCTGGGCCAGCACTGCAGGTGCTGGGGATTTGTGCAGGTTTGGCCTGGGTTTGATGCTGGGGAGGAAGCGCAGGCCCTGGAGCTGCTGTGCAAGCCCTCTGCCCCCGGGTCACACGCCCGGCCTTCCCGCTCTTTTCAGAAGACCAGGAGTTCAGCTCCACCCCAGGATCCCGGGACCCCAGCTCTCCACACCTCTCCATCTGGTTGCCTGTGCAGTCGGGGCCCCAGACAGAGGGCTGCTCTGTGCTTCGGGAAGCCCCTGGCTCACAGCAGATCTGGTTCTCTCCCCAGGACATCGTCACCACCATCCAGGCCTCCTATGCCAAGAAGAAGCTGTCCTTGCACCTCCTGGATCTCCAGTAGGTGCTGCAGAGAGGGGAGGGGACAGCAGCTCGGCCAACCTGGTCCCGACTAAGCAGGGTGGGGGGTGGCAGGGGGGGGGGGCGGATCCTGGGGGGAAGTGCAGACTTCCGGCTCGGCCACAGGGAGAGACCTTCCCTAGAGTCTAGATGAGGAGGAAGAGACGCCACGGGAGGGAATGGCGGAGGGCCCAGCAGAGGGGAGGGGACCTGAGCTAAGGTCTGGCGTCTAGAATGGCAAAATCTTTTTTTTTTCTTCTTCTTGGTACTGAGGCCTGAACCCAGAGGCACTTAACCACTGAGCCCCGTCCCCAGCACTGTCGTGTATTTTATTTAGAGGCAGGGGGTCTTGCTGAGTGGCTCAGGGACTCGCTAAGTGGCTGAGGCTGGCTTTGAACTGGCCATCCTCCTGCCGCAGCCACTGGGATTACAGGCGTGTGCCATCGTGCCCGGCTGAAATGGCAGACCTTGGGACAGTATTCCAAAGGCCTTTCTTACCGAGGGCCTTAAGTATTGGGCAGAAGCACCTAGATTCCTGGGGTTTCTTTTCTGGGGGGTGTTCCAGCAAGGAGCCCAACCGAGGGCCCAGTTCCCTTCTCTTTTTGATTTCAGGACTCAACCCAAGTCTACTTCAGGCACCGATGAGGTAGGTGGGCTTGGGAGATAAGTCTGCAGGGCCTCATGCCTCGAAGAAAGCAGGGACAGGTCCCTGAATGAAGCCAACGGAACCCTAAGAAATGGCCCGATGTCCCCTCCCAGTCACCTGTGACCCTCCTCCCTGCTGTGTCTGCGGGGGGAGCTCTCCTGTTGCAGAAATGGGGTCGTGGTAGTGTGGACTGAGGAGGCGGGAGAGTCCTGGCCATGGGGCCTCTCCCTGGGCCTCAGTTTCCCCCTGTGAATGGGATAACAGCCCCCGCCCTCCCCAGGGCCTCGGAAGGACCTCGCAGGGAGGAGGCAGGAGGCGGGGGCTGGCTGGGAGGCCTTTTTTCTTGGGCACCTGGATGAATGCTCACGTGGACTGTGTGGCCGTCCACCCGTGGGTCACTGCTGGGCTCCCAGGGAGCACTCACCGTGGGCCTTTCTGATTGACAGAGCAAGTTCAAGTCCGTCCAGAACTCCCTGTGGTCGATGGTCTCCACCGTGGGCATCCCTGAGGTCATGACTCGTAAGTGTGGCCAGGCGGAGAGCTTGGGGTGCAGGTCGCACTTGACTTTGTCCCCACACTCTCAGATGGTGGAGTGCAGAGGCCCCGCCCCTTCCCAGGCAGCCCCCGGGGCCTCTGATTCTGCAGCCAGGACACTTAGGGGTCCTGCGTCCCTTCCCTAAGGTACCTCTCCCTGTTGGTGGCAATGCAGGCCACTGACCTGGCCAGATGCATGGACCCCTGATTCTGGCTCCCCTTGAGGACATTACCACTGCCACCCACATGGCGGCTGAGCCCACTGCCCACGGCAGAGAGAAGGCTGGGCCTGGTAGCCGGAGGGTGCGACCTTGTCGTACGTAGCCCAGCCTCAGTTTCCCTTCCTATGAAATGAAGTCAGCTCGATGGTCCCCAGATTCCCTTTGGACCTTGACACTGTAGGATGTTTGTCCCTCTGCAGTGACTTTAATGGTGGAATCTGAGACACCGGCACAGAGTAAGGGGGTGGGTGTTGGACAAGGCCCTTCCAAGAGCTCTGTGCCCTCTTCCCCATGGGCATAGGGGACAGGCCGGTCTCCATTTTTTAATATCTGCTTGTTCAAGAGGAGAAGAGTAGAAACGGGAATCACCCTGGCTGACTGTCTCCGTCTCTCTTGGCCTCAGTTTTCCCCATCTGTGTCATGGAGCTAAAATGGGGGGTGGACTGAGCTGGGTTGCTGGGGAGACTGCTCTGTGTGGTGGCAAAGAGCACCTGGAAGCTCAGTGAGGAGAGGCGAGACCCCCAGAGCAGGCCCGGGAGTGATGGCTGCTCCCCAGGGTCGGCTAAGCAGGGCAGATTCACAGAATGTTGTCCCAGCGTCTCCCACAAGCCAGGGGCTGGGCCTGCTCCCCAAGAAGGGCTGACTGGGGCCCCCTCCCTGCCCAGGGCTCGAGGTGGCGTTTACGGCCCTCATGAACAGCAAGGGCCTGGACCTCTTCGACATCATCAACCCCGAGATCATCTCTCGTGATGTGAGTGCACGGTCCCACCTCCTGGGGACGCAGCCCCAGACAGCTTCCCTGGGGTGACTGGCTGCTGGGGAGACGGGCAGAGGGGCACGCCCAGTGCCTCCTGGTGGCCTTGGGGCCAGTTAGCCTGCTGCTCTCTCCAGGGCTTTCTGCTGCTGCAAATGGACTTTGGCTTCCCGGAGCACCTGCTGGTGGACTTCCTGCAGAGCCTGGGCTAGGGATCCTGGAGCTGCCTGGGTCTCCAACCAGGAGGCCCCGACCAGGCTCACAGCTGAACCCAGCCTCTCTGTCCATCCGCATGGAGTCAGGGTGCACGTAGGGAGATGGAGGCCTGATGGCATTAAAATTTTGTGTCCAGGAGCTGTGTGGTTCTTCAGTAGGGGGGCCCTGGGGCGGGGCGGGGAATGACATTGTCCTTTGCTGGCCAGATCTGACAAGCCCAGCCCTGGGTGTCCACCCTCCTGCCAGCCCTTCCACAGCCATTGCTCCCGATCCCTGCACCAGAGCCTGGAGGGAGCCACCCAAACCTCCTCCTTGGAATTAAGGGTCTCCCTGACAGGCCCCCTGGTACCTGCCAGACCCACCCAGAATCCACCACTCTCGGCCAGACCCTCTGTCCCTGTCACACCAGTGCTGCCCCCTCTGCTGGACAGTCTTGAACAGCCCCTCTCCTGGCAGGTGCCCCTCCTTGAAGCCCTCCACCCTTCAGGGCTAGATCAAGGCCAGCCCCTCAGGGTGTTGGTGACCTCTGGAGTCACATCCTCTAGTGACTCCTCTCCACGTTCAGATGGCAGCCGGCCACGGGCACACTCGTGGCCCTGAACCCAACAGGCCTGAGGCTCTGAGGGGGCACCAGGTGGCCAAGACATAGATAGTGTCATCAGGGTCCTCAGGAGCAAATCACAGGACCCGGCACAGGTGCCATCTGGAGACGGGAATGTGGTCTGGGGTCTTGAGCAGCTCATAGTCTGAGTGGGAAGGAGGCCGCAGTGCCAGGCTTGGGTCGGGAGCATGACCCGGGCATGGGGGTCACGGGCAGCAGAGACCCTCTAGGGGACACTTCATCCCGCTGCGCCTCCACCCGGCACTGCACTCCCCGCAGAATCCGAAATCCTGGGTGCCCGAGCCTGGGCGGCGTCCTCAGCCCTGGCTGGGCCACTTGGGTGAACGGCGGGTTTCCTGGGTGGGGGAAGCTCACAACCACGATCGGTTGGGACACACGAACACACCCTTGCATCTTCCAGTGGCCAGGGGAGGAGGGGACATTGGAGCTGCATCTTGGAGTCTAAGGAGGGATTTGCAAAGACAGCTAGAGCCGGGGGGGGGGGGGGGGGGGGGTGGCAAGGAGGGGTCCCGAGACAGTCACCCACTCCCTGAGCCACTCACTGACACACTCACACTGCCTCTCACTCCTGGCCAGATACCCAGGCAACCGTGACTGTCCCTGAGTTCTCTCCAGCGTCCTGATGGGGGGGCCCTGGACGCTGGGGAGCAGGAAGGCCCTCCCAGACCCGTCTCTCCCGCCCCCACAGCACCCGGGCCTTCGGGGCCTTTGTCCACCCACCAAAGTCCAGGCTCCTCTTCTAACCAGCTTCCCTGCGGGGCCTGAAGCCAGGCTCCCAGACGGTCTGGTCCCCTGGGATGCCAGTGCTGGACAGGAAGTGGGGAGGATGGAGGCTTCAGATCCCCAGGGTGCGGCAGGGGCACTCAGAGGCCGCTGCCCGGCCCAGGAGGAGGAGGAGGATGGAGTCTCAAAAAGGAACATGAATCATACTTTAGTGAGGAAGAGAGCGTCTCTGAGCGTGTTTCCAGCCCACGTATAAGGCTCTTCCTCCTCCTGTCCCCAGGCTACAGTCCTAAAGGCCGGCTCCCACCATCAGTCCAGGTGGGAGAAGAGAATCCCCGACACACCTTGGAGTGGGTTGGGAAAAGCACAGGGTGTTGGCTGGAAAGTGATCTGTCCCCCGGAAACCCACGTGATCAGGCCATGAGAGGGGGGCTCTTGCCTCTTGAAGGAGGGGGTTCATGAGGGAGAACAGCCTCTTGGAAGCAAGGCTCTCATGCTTTGCCCCTGTCACACGCCCACCTGCACTTCTGCTTTCTGCCAAGAGTCCAAGCCGCAGGAGGCCCTCTCCCGGATCACACCGAATCATCTTTTCTTTCTAAAGCACCTGTCTCGGGTATTCTGTTATAGCAACAGGAAACGGACTAAGACACAGCAAGATGCTGGCATGCAGAGTCCCTCAGGTAGAGGAAACCGTGACAGAGTCAAGAAATACAGAGAGAAAGCTGGGCACCGTGACACTCGCTTATAATCCTGGTGACTGGGGAAGCTGAGGCAGGAGGATCGAAAGTTGGAGGCCAGCCTCAGCAACTTAGTAAGACTCTTGTCTCAAAATTTAAAAAGGCTGGGGAGGTAGCGTAGTGGTAAATTGCCCCTGAGTTCAATCCCCAGTGCTACAAAAATAAACGAATAATAAATAAATGAATAAGAGAACAGAGAGAAGCTGAGGGAGCCGAAGGCAGGGTCCACACCAGCGGTGGCCGAGGGGCCTGATCTGTGGTTTTAACAGCAGCRTGCAAGGCGATTGGGCAGGCCATGCTTGGTGGGGTTGGCCCATCACTAGGGACACACAGAGAAGTCCCATGGAGCATCACGTCACCTTCAACAACCCCAGCCCAGCTGGGACCTGGGGAGACCGTGAGACTCACCCCTGTTCCTGAAAGGAAGGTAGCGGTGGCTCCAGTTCCTTCCCCATCCTTAGCGTCTCCCCAGTTTCAAGGAGAGTAAGTAGCTGAAGGAGCTATGGAATCCCAGAGGATCTTGCTAGAACAGGACAAACCTGCTGAACCCCTCTCCAAGCCCTGTGGCCTCCCTCCAAGCCTAGAAGTTCTGACCTAGACCTACCTCAAAAGTCCAGGAAGTCCTCCTGGCCCGTGTGGAGTGCTGGGCTGCCCCAGGGGGACATCAGTATCTGCTGCTTCCTCCAGGGAGCCGAGAGGGGCTCCCCAAGGCCAGGGCCCAGTGGAGGCCCATCCTGCTGCCTGGGCAGCTGAGCCTGGGCTCCAGGACCAGGCCTCAGACAAATGGGAAATGCACGGGCCACTGTTGCTACCAGCTGACCCTGGCATGCATCCCAAGCCTCACAGGACAGTCATTCAGGCAGCAGCTGAGCAGCTTGTGTTGGCCACCAACCCTAAAATGTGTTGAAGCATGCTAGCTGTTTGTGAGAGACGCCAGGTCCATTCCAGGTGTCCCTGCCCACCTTCGCCTGGCGAGCTGTGTGCAGTGCTGCCTCCTCCTTGGGGTGTGGGGACCCCCCTGCCTTGTTGACACCAGGAAATGCTCTTGTCCGCAGCGCCCCATAAGCTACCCATGGTGCCATCCCAGACCAGGCTGCTTCTTTCTTCAGTCTCACAGAATCTTGAGCTGGTTCTCATACACAGGACTGGGCCGTTCCAAACCAGATGGACGTGTAATTTACACCAGAGGACCGTGTACACTGTGAGCCAGAGAAAATGGGCACCAGGCTGAGCACAGGGAGGGTTTAGGAAAGCATCTTTCCCAGGACTCTTCTTGACAGGTCTTGTACCCCTAGGGTGGAAAGACTCAGCTCTGCTCCGGATTGCTGTGTGACCATGAGTAACTCACCTGACCTATCTGGACTTCATTTCTTCATCTGCCCCCTGAATTGGAAATCTTTGTCCTACCCTCCTTATGGGGCTGTTCAAGATTATAAATGGTCTGCATTTGTCTTTCTACATTGTGGTTGTCTGTCCGTGTGTCCATTTGCCTACCCTGCCTGCATGGAAAGCAGGCCAGAGTCTCTCCTGGGACTTTGGGTAGGGACAATCAGACCTTGGGTGCTCAGTGAACATGAGCTGAACCCTGATCTTGGGACACAGTCAATCACTCTCATGCACAGTTCCACAATACATGCCACAGTGGCCTGGGAGGCTGGGAACAGCCCATCTGACAGATGAGGAAACTGAGGCTGGGGACCATCAAGGCATTTGTCTGAGCTACCAGCCAGGAGGGGCAGATCTGGGAGTCGCACACAAGCACTCAACTGCAAAATCCACACCCGGCCCCCTCCCAGCTGCAGTGCAATTTCTGGCTATCTGGTTTGGTCCTGGGAAGACAGGGGTTCAAGTATGATGGGGATGTGGGGCCTGCAGAAGGAGACAAAAATAGAAGGCTGCTATGGGCTTCAGGTACAGAGGGCACCAGCCCCAGTTTGAGGTTGGCTGCAGGCCAGATTCTCACAACCAATCTATGGGCAGGGATTTTATCATTCCCATCTTACAGAGGGTATAACTGAGGCTAGGGGTTGTCAAGGCATTAGGCAATGTGAATAGTCAGTAAGAAAGGAGGACCTGAATCCAGGGTGCCCGATGCCGATGGTCCCACCTCTGACCCCTGACTTGGAATGCCCGCCCACCTCCGCATACACACCTGTTCTGGGGCACAGAAGCGTCTGGGAATGGAAGCTGGGACTGTCACTGAAGGTGAGCATGTCCTCTGCAGGGAGAGGAGATGCCCCATCTCAGGACAAGGGGAAAAGGCTGGGGAGACTGTGGGGAAACCTTGGACAGGTGACCTTTCAGGACGGCCACCCCACTCACCTTCTCAATGTCCCTGGCCCCATCCTCCCTGCCCTCTCTCCCTGCACCTTCTTTCCATCTACCCCTCCTCTCTGCCAGTGGTCCCTGTCTGACTTGGGCAAGGTCCTTCACCTCTGTCCTCTCTGAACCTCAGCTGTTCATCTGCAGGCAGGGTGACACCCCCATCTGTATTTGGTGCCACTTTGAGGATTAGATAGGTTCCTAGATGGCGTTTCTCCGGGTCAGCCGGCCCAGGGCTCGGTCCCCACACCTGTTACTCCCTTCTCCCTGCCCCTCTCCAGGAGCGCTCCCCAGGCCAGGGCTCAGGACCCCGGGGCTCTAAGCGCCCGCTTCCCGCCCAGTGGCACCTCCTCCCTTTGCTCTGGTCCGGTCCGCAAGAAAGTCCTGGCGGGGACTCCTCCAGGGTCCTGCAGCGCCGCCGACTCCCGCGATCTCCGGCTTCACCCTCCACCCCAGGGTCGCATCCGCGGAGGAGAGGACCCTCCTTCTGCTGGCGATGACCTGGGATCGAGCCCCTGGCCGGGGTCCCGAGCGCAGCAGGCGGGGCGCGTGCGGGCTCCTGCCCCCAGCGCCCGGGTCCGGGATGGCACCTCGAACCCACGTGATTTCTCGGCAGCGGCCGCGGTTCCAAGCACTGGCCCGCTGCGCCCGGCGTCTGCTTTCAGTTTCGCACGGAGCGTGGACGAGCCGGCAGCGCAGCGGTGAGTGCAGGGGCCGCGGGACCCCG